CATTCTTTTTTATGCTACATTAATCATCCATTAAGTATGTTCTGTTTAAGTTCTACTAGTTTAGTATATCATTCTTTTTTATGCTACATTAATCATCCATTAAGTATGTTCTGTTTAAGTTCTACTAGTTTAGTGTATCATTATTTATTATGTTACATTAATCATCCATTAAGTATGTTCTGTTTAAGTTCTACTAGTTTAGTGTATCATTCTTTTTATGCTACATTAATCATCCATTAAGTATGTCTGTTTAAGTTCTAGTAGTTTAGTGTATCATTATTTATTATGTTACATTAATCATCCATTAAATATGTTCTGTTTAAGTTTAGCTTCTAGTAGTTTAGTGTATCATTCTTTACTATGTTACATTAATCATCCATTAAGTATGTTCTGTTTAAGTTCTGGTAGTTTAGTGTATTATTCTTTATTATGTTACATTAATCATCCATTAAGTATGTTCTGTTTAAATTTTAGTAGTTTAGAGTATCATTCTTTATTTTGTTACACTTATCATCCATTAAGTATGTTCTGTTTAAGTTCAGCTTCTAGTAGTTTAGTGCATCATTCTTTATTTCATCCTGGAAGTGACATAATCATTTAGTATTACTCGAGACACTCAAAATACGTCAGTGTAAAATATTAGTAAAATATATATATAAAATGATTGCCAAAATATTTAGCTCATTTTGTAAATAGCATTTGACATTATTTCATCGGCCTGTTTGTGCTTACGTTTTCTTAATTTTGTATTGTTTTCTGTCCAACAGCAATTAGTCCTATCAGTCCCAACCAACCTAACCAACATGCCCGTTAAAAAGAGAGGAGGAGGATTGTGTGGCTGTTTTGGGAGCAACGAACCACCCGAAATTACGTATCACGTTGTGGAGAATGGAGGGGTGGTCAACTTGCAACCACACCCCCTCACTCCCACACAACCATTACCAGATGAAGAAGAGCTGAACGCAAAATTTTCTGAGTTAGTCGTAAGTGAAAGCGATAGTACCAATATAATAATAGCCACAATTCTAAGGGTTCTAAGCCTTAACTGACTGTTTTAAATACCAGCTCTCTGTTTGACTTTCTCAGACTGCTTGTTGTGATATTAATCATCAAAAATTATTGGATGGTTAACCTATAATATCTTTGTAATTCCTTTCTATAGGTTGTATTATCTGCCTTATAAAACTCCATTAAATATATAAACTGAGTGTCTTGTTAACATAGACTTAAGACAGAATGTTAATATATTTTTATTTGATATTCGAACCAGGATTAATTTACATTTATAGATTAATCTTTTGTGCACAATGATCGTTATTAAATATTATATGTTATTGCAATGACACTAATAAATGGGTTTTATTAATAATACACAAAATTTGGGATGAATTTCCAGAATCTGCGAAACATGGAAAATACGAAATGAACCTAAACGTAGCTTTGTAACCATGAATGTACGACTGGGAATCAAAATCGTAACAAAGCCAGAACTTTGATCGATCACTCGTGGTTTATTTGTTTTTGTCTTATCTTATTGTTCCTTTTTCTACTTGTTTAAGTGAACAATCTGTATAAAGTGTCCCTTGTTAAGGCAAAATGTTGATATAGGGCTAACAGCCCAAGCAAAATGAAGGGAAAAATTTTAAAAACGTAAGTTCCTAAGTCACAGTCGTTTTGTGCCCAACTCGGTGTTACAGGTCGTCTTCTGCACCATTTCATTATGAATTGACTTTGTTACGATTGTGTTATCACGTCGCTTTCTCTTCAACTTTATTAATATCGTACTTATTTCAATCAGGAATTGACTCATATCAACTTGTACGAAACAAATATATGTTTATTACTATAATCGCCTCCCCCCCACCCACACACACAATGACTTAGCGGTATGTGTACGTCTTTGAACATACAACGCTAAAAATCGGTCTTTGATACCCGTAGTGAGAACAACACAAATAGCCCACTATGTTGCTTTGTACTTTACAACAAACAAACAAAAATACTATAACCGCCGATGCATCGATTTAAACTAGATTTTAGTTCTTACTGGTAGCATATCTTCCTTCGTGGGTTGGCGGTGGGTGTTCTAATCTTTTATTGCAGATAGTCCTCGGGAAGCGAAATTCAAAACGAACAAATTCTCTCGGTTTATTTGTTCTGGAAGGAAGAGGTCAACTCCGAACTTGACCGTCCCTGGTCCAAAACATGGACCGAAACCCGATGAT